TGCAGCAGCACCAGCCTCAACCTTCTCTCCAAACCTGCGCGGTTGGTTCAGTGCTGCACTTGGAGCCAGCAGGACGCCCTGGGCACAGAACCAGGCTGTCCCTGCGGACATCCCCTCGCGCGCCGGAGCCGCCCAAACCAGAGCCCCCGTTTCCTCAGAAACCACCTGGCCCTGTCACACATCCCAGCAGAGCCCCGGCTTCTGGGAAAAGGCCCATGCAGCCGGCACGGCCGTTCCCGGCAAGGCGCGGGGCTTCCCGCAGGATGTGGGATTGCAGGTCGTGGCTCGACGCGGCCTCGCCCGGCCCAAAAGCGGCGGGCGCCCCCGGCAGCCCGGGCCACGCTGCGGCACAGGCCCCCGCGCAGAGGGGCAGCACAGCCAAACCCGCCGTCCCCTCTGCGCTGTCCTAGGGAGACACCACAGCCCGTTACATTTCTGCATGTTTTTATTAGCAGTTCTAAGCGGAACAGTTCATTTCTTCTTCTCCACATCCTGCTCTGCGGCTTCTTTGGCGCGTTTAGCACGAATCCCAAAGAGTCGGGCATTTGCCCGGGCCATACGCAGGCTGGCAAAGGCCTTGAAGTTCTTCTCCTCTTCCGAGATAACGCGGGCCTTCTCCCTTTTGAAAACCTAGCGGGAGCAAGAGCCAGACAGTCAGACTCAGCAGCAGAGGCTCCCACACAACACAGTATTTATAAGGTTTAACACAATTATTTTCACTACATGGTTTTAAACTAGCTCCAGGATGCCATTAAGAATACAGTATTTATGCGACCCACAGGCCCTGCCCTTATCATCGCTCCACCAGACACCTCCTTTCAACCAGCTCCTGATTTCCCAGCGCGCCAGCACAAGGCCAGAAAAACAAGCAGCCTCTTTGCCAGGTTTGTGGTGCCCAACGAGCAGCACCGCTGAGAAACAGCAGCAGGGGCTGAGAGGGCCCCAGCTACCCCGGGCTCTCATGTGCCCACGTCCCCTCCACCGCTGCCCACGGCAGTCACACGTGCCCCCACTTCTGCATCTAAGCAGCAAGCTGCCCCCCTGCCCACGGGGGCACATACGGGCAGGGGGTGCTCGCTCAGCCTGGGTTTTAGCCCGAGCCCTCCCAGGGGTCTCACAACTTTGCTGGGTTTTTGTACCAGTCCCACCCCAGCCCTCTCTAGACTGTCTATACAGTCACGCTGCTCCCAGCCAGTTCGAGGCAAAACTGGAATAAACAACCACCCCCGGCCAACACGTTGTGCCCACCACCCCGCCGCTGCTCCTGGGTGCAGGGGAAGCTCCAGGCACCACAGTTACCGCTGTCGGTCAGAGTTTTAGCAGGGCTCCAAACAGCTCTTGGCAGCCGGGTTTCTCAGCGCCGCGTAGCGAGCAGCTCGAGTCACACCCATGGCAAAACACAAGGCCAAGCCTGAGCTGCTCGGGGGGTTTTGAGCCAGGATGGCAAGTGTCTGAAGACAACCACCCTCAACCGAGGGCAGGGAGAGGGGAATCCTCCCAGCAAGGTCAAGTCTTGACCACGCGACAGGAACGCCCAGTTTTAAGCCACACTTACGTTCCGGATCGGCATGACTGGTCCGGACAGCTGAGTTGCCATCTTGAGTTCCTCAGCCTGCATAACCAGAGGGAAACGCACAGTATTGTCAGGACATAATAAAAATAGTAATAATAACGCACCAGCCAGAGCAGTATGTAAATCTTCTCAGTCTAGTACCTAGATTTAAAAACTGCCTTGTACACAGGTCCCTAGCTTAAACGCGTTGCTAACTATCAGAGATTCAGCTTTAGTAAAAAAACTCAACATTTCACTAGTGCAGCTCTAAAAGTATCCAGCACAGACAAATTCTCTCAATAACCTGCATTTTTGTCTGGCTACCAAGTCAGGATGGATGCGGCCAGTACAGCCAGCTGGAAAAGTGTGGGAAACTACTAGGTCATTTTTAGTTTGACTATGTTGTGTATTCCAAAACAATTCAATTTAAGGCTAATTTCAGCTTCCTGTATCAGTATGGAATTAAGCAAAAGTAAAATGTTTCAACTAGGTAAAATTACTTTGAACTATAAAACGCAAAAAAAATGGAGTTGAGGAGTTTAGAAAAATCTATTTTACATTCACATGCATTCAACCTCCTTAACAAGTTCACACTACAAATCATCCTGCAGCAAGGAGACCACTGGCATCAAAAACCTGGATCCTCCTTTCCATACCTCTGCCAGTCCCACAGGTCAGACAGAAGGGAGCAGCCCTCCCTACTTGAAAACCATTCCACTGTGTTCAGCAGAACTTCTGTGCTCAACTAGGGAACATAAAATGCTGAAAAACCTTCCTTGCCCTATTCTGAAAAATCAACCCAAGCAAGGCCTGACTCTGTGCCTGTGAACTGCACTACAACACTGCCTCTCATCTCAGCGCTGGTGCATTTGTCACAGAGCAAGGACAAGGACAGCCAACTCTACCGTGGATCTCGCTAAGATTTCAGTGAAAAACATTTTGTAATTTAACAGGAACCATCTTCACAGAACACAATCACTCCATTCCACTAAGTCGCTCAGCTCAGAAAACCTTGGCCCTTGCCTTTGCTTGCCTTCCATGCAATACCACAGCACATCACGTATTCCAGACTTTCCAGCTACAGATAATTTTGCTTCTCAAACTAAAATTCAACTGTTTAGGCAAGAATCAGAGCACTGCAGCCCCAATGCCAAAGCCCACTCCAAAGCCGCTCGACACACAGCAGGTTGCTGCAGCCAGGTTCCAGCCTCACCGTGCACTCCCAGCTCCTCTCACACACACACGGGCGCCGCGTCGGGGCTGCCCTGCCAGGCAAGGGCTCCTCCTCCCAAAAAGCTCAGGTTCTGGAAGCTTTTGATGCCCACCAAGGGCCTAAGGTGACAAGCTAATAACCACAATTTACCTGCAACCGATTCTGTGTTTTTAAGGGTCGAGTACTTACGGAACTGTCGCCTTTCTTAGGCGCGGAGGGCTTCCGTGGGAAGAGGATGAGCTTGGAGCGGTATTCCTTCAACCTCTGCACGTTGGCTTGCAGGGACTCTGTCGACTTGTTCCGTCGCCTGGGATCCACGGAGATCCCAATAGTCCGGGCAAACTTTTTGTTAATGCCAGCCAGCTAAGGAGAAATGGAGCAGGGTCAATACTCACATTACTCCAGGGTAAAGACAGACACCCAAGAGCCCCTCAGGAGCTGAAACACTGCACGGATCTCCCGCTGCAGAAGGATCCTCCCATGACAGGGAACACAACCCCAGAGCTGATTAGCAGTGGGACATTTGTAATGTGATGCACGCTAGCCAGAGATTTATAAAGTCATCACACAGATAACTGAAGGGGACCAAAAGTCCTGTGCAGAAGGAAAGGGGCAGGGGGTGGAATTGAAACATTCATTTAAAAAAAAATCTCATTTTTTGTTTAAAAGATTCAAATTATTAATGTACCACTTAGGGTTTCTTTAATTTTCAAGCAGTAACACAAAGTAATGAAACACTTAGTATTCAGAGGAACAATTTTACTGCTTCAACACACTAATGCCACTGTTATAAATGTTTTAATTAGCTATCAAACAGCTCACAAGAGGAAACTGCAGGTTCTGGCTGCCAGCAAACATTAACATCTACTCCTGCCCACTGTATGGGACCAAGTGGTGGGTTCCTGGGGTGGCCACCATGACCCCACGTTTAGCAGCTAAGGAGCGCACCAGGGAAGAGCTTCCAGGAGGACCTTTTCCTGGAGCAGGGGGAAGGCACCGAAAGCTTCCCACAGTTTTTGAGTCCTGCGAAGCCACCTCGTAGCTCCTGCATGAAAACCCAGCAGGACAGTTGTGTGTCTTGGCACAACACATTCCGCTTCCATCAGAAATGAGTTAGCACTCTGCTTGCTCCTCAGCACAAAGGAGCTCGCGCAGGCTACGTCATATAGGACTTGTAGAAATACATTTCACAAGTAAACAAAATATTTAATAAAAAGCGATTTGTTATTTTCTTAAAAAAAAAGGAATCTTTATCAAGGCTCTACCAGAATCTGATTTTGATAAAGTAAATGTGCCGAGTGATACTTATTTTTCCAAAGAGCCCCTCGCTTTGACACATGCCATTGCTTCCCCATTCCGTAGTTATGGGGCACACAGAAACATCAATTTTAACCTTTAGATGCAACAACAAAAAAGAAGTTTCCCCCTAGCTACACGTGGCCTGAGGTAGCTTAGGCAGATCCTGCCCGTGAGCAGCTCAAAGCTACAGCAGGACCCAACCCCGGGCACTGCCCGCGTTCCCCGCAGCACCCCACGCACCTTGAGCTCCTCGAGGCTGAAGCCGCGGCCGGCGCGCACCTTGGTGTGGTACCGAACCGTGGGGCAGCGCACGATGGGCCGGATGGGCCCCGCGACGGGCCGCGGCGCGATGCGGCGGGCCTTGGCCTGGCGGGCCTTCCTCCTGCGGGGCGACAGCGAGCGCGGCCGGGCGCCCCGGTGAGGCCCCT